TAGCATAAAGAGACATCGTTGGCCTCTACGAGTGACATTCTCACAGGCATGCTGATGACTTGAGTGGCCATGTTACCAAGGTAACCTTAAAGGGGCAGCTAAACATTTTTGTCTGATATTTTTGTTAAAATACTCCGGTCACAGAATATTAAATTAAATCGAGCATGATCATCAGTTTTTATTGTTTCTTTGTGTAATTGTGGCAACAACAAATATTTAGCCTGGTAAAATATTTGAGTGGCAGGTATTATTTTTATCTGCCTGCCACAATGGCTGGTATACAAAAAAGTTAGCTTTAGGCTCTGGTAATACTTGTCACAGTTGAAGAGAGGATGTTCTCAACTTTGTGAAGGTATATTATTTATTTCTCAGCTATCTATTTTAAAACCAAGATATTTATATGGATTTGAGATACGGAGCGCGCAAAATGAGCATTGGCCATTGCGAGCGCATCGGCCTCATTGGGTATTAGGCTATGACAGCAATGCTTTTTTAGGACATTAATAATTACTTTGCTGTTAGATTAAAATAGTGATCAAGCTAATGTGTTTTGAGTTTCTACATACCCAGCTGGTGAATTAGCAACAAATATATTAGTCTATGATATTAGTGCTATTAGAAAATGATTAGCCTACAAAAGAAATTATATTGGTGACAGCGTGAAGAAATATGGGAATATTAGCAGGTTTATGGCACATGCAGACTTCAAAATTGGTATTAAATTGCATTTCAAGTGGCATTAAAAAGGTCTTGGTCTTAAATTCAATTTCATGGAACCTGCAGATACAGTGTATGTGTGTCTGTCTCTCTCTTTCGGTCTCTCTCTCTCTCTGTGTCTCTCTGAGGCTGCTGGCTGCACCATTATATACTGAGTCCCTGACAGGGAGCCAGAGCCACCAGGGTTCAAACAGGGAGGGTGTGTGTTTATGCATGAGGACGGAAGACATTTTCCCATCATTTACATATACATTTGCCATGCCAAATGGCCCCTGTTCCAAGCTCAACTTGTGGTGACTATTTTGTCCTATGTAGGGAGTGTCTTATTGAAAGCACGTCACCAGAGTATACCTAATACTAGAGACACAAACAACAACATAGTGGGATTAGCCTAGGTCTGGAGGAGACCAATTAAGTGAGGAGGGGTGTTTTCCGCCTGTGGCCACCCTGGTAAAACCCCACCTCCCATAGGCTTAGTTTTAGATCCCTCCCCCCCCCGCCTTGAATGTGATGTCAGCTTCTAGTGTGTGTGGGTGTATGGGAGGTGATAGGAGAGGAGGGATTCTGGCTTGACTGGCTGAAATTAACTTTTGTTAATTTCAGCCAGTTGTTCTGAAAATGGTGCTCACAAGCCAAAATTGGTCCCCATTTTTTGGTGTGTACTACGTCATCAAATTGTGTACTACGTCATCCATTTCATATGATATACACTACCAGTCAAAAGTTTGGACACACCTACTCATTCAAGGGATTTTCTTTATTTTTACATTGTGAAGACATCAAAACTATGAAATAACACATATGGAATCATGTAGTAACCAGACAAGTGTTAAATAAATGAACATATATTTTAAATTTGAGATTCTTCAAATAGCCACCCTTTGTCTTGATGACAGCTTTGCGCACTCTTGGCATTCTCTCAACCAGCTTCATGAGGTAGTCACCTGAAATGCATTTCAATTAACTGGTGTGCCTTGTTAAAAGTTAATTTGTGGAATTTCTTTCCTTCTTAATGCATTTGAGCCAATCAGTTGTGTTGTGACAAGGTAGGGGCGGTATACAGAAGATAGCCCTATTTGGTAAAAGACCAAGTCCATATTAGGGCAAGAACAGATCACATAAGCAAAGAGAAGTGACAGTCCATCCTTACTTTAAGACATGAAGGTCAGTCAATACGGAACATTTCAAGAACTTTGAAAGCTAATTCAAAGCCATATCTCAGACTGCCCGATAAAAATAAAAGATTAAGATGGGCAGTCTGAGATATGGCTTTTTCTTTGCAACTCTGCCTAGAAGGTCAGCATCACGGAGTCGCCTCTTCACTGTTGACGTTGAGACTGGTGTTTTGCGGGTACTATTTAATAAATCTGCCAGTTGAGGACCTGTGAGGCGTCTTTCTCAAACTAGACACTCTAATGTATTTTCCTCTTGCTCAGTTTTTCACCGGGGCCTCCCACTCCTCTTTCTATTCTGGTTAGAGCCAGTTTGCACTGTTCTGTGAAGGGAGTAGTACACAGCATACGAGATCTTCAGTTTCTTGGCAATTTCTCGCATGGAATAGCCTTCATTTCTCAGAACAAGAATAGACTGACGAGTTTCAGAAGAAAGTTATTTGTTTCTGGCCATTTTGAGCCTGTAATCGAACCTACGATACTCAACTAGTCTCAAGAAGGCCAGTTTTATTGCTTCTTTAATCAGCACAACAGTTTTCAGCTGTGCTAACATAATTGCAAAAGGGTTTTCTAATGATCAATTAGCCTTTTTTTAAATGATAAACTTGGATTAGCAAACACAACGTGCCATTGGAACACAGGACTGATGGTTGCTGATAATGGGCCTCTGTACGCTTATGTAGATATTCCATAAAAAATCAGCCGTTTCCAGCTACAATAGCCATTTACAATATTAACAATGTCTAATCTGTATTTCTGATCAATTTGATGTTAAGCAAAAAATTGCTTTTCTTTCGAAAACAAGGACATTTTTAAGTGACGCCAAACTTTTGAACGGTAGTGTATGTATTCAACCCCTTTGCTATGAAGCCCCTAAATAAGATCTGGTGCAACCAATTACCTTCAGATGTCACATAATTCGTTAAATAAAGGCCACCTGTGTGCAATCTAAGTGTCACATGATCTCAGTATATATACACCTGATCTGAAAGGCCCCAGAGTCTGCAACACCACAAAGCAAGGGGCACCACCAAGCAAGCAGCACCATGAAGACAAAAGGTGCTCTCCAAACAGGTCAGGGACAAAGTTGTGGAGAAGTACAGTTCAGGGTTGGCTTATAAAAAAATATCAGACACTTTGAACATCCCACGGGGGACCATTAAATCCATTATTAAAAAATTGAAAGAATATGGCACCACAACAAACTTGCCAAGAGAGGGCCGCCCACCAAAACGCACGGACCAGGCAAGGAGGGCATTAATCAGAGAGGCAACAAAGATACCAAATATAACCCTGAAGGAGCTGCAAAGCTCCACAGCAGAGATTGGAGTATCTGTCCATAGGACCACTTTAAGCCGTACACTCCACAGAGCTGGGCTTTACGGAAGAGTGGCCAGAAAAAAAGCCATTGCTTAAAGAAAATAAAATGCTAACATGTTTGGTGTTTGCCAAAAGGCATGTGGGAGACTCCCCAAACATATGGAAGAAGGTACTCTGGTCAGATGAGACTAAAATTGATCTTTTTGGCCATCAAGGAAAACGCTATGTCTGGCGCAAACCCAACACCTCTCATCACCCCGAGAACACCATCCCCACAGTGAAGCATGGTGGTGGCAGCATCATGCTGTGGGGATGTTTTTCATCGGCAGGGACTGGTAAACTGGTCAGAATTGAAGGAATTATGGATGGCGCTAAATACAGGGAAATTCTTGAGGGAAACATGTTTCAGTCTTCCAGAGATTTGAGACTGGGACGGAGGTTCACCTTCCAGCAGGACAATGACCCTAAGCATACTGCTAAAGCAACACTCGAGTGGTTTAAGGGGAAACATTTAAATGTCCTGGAATGGCCTAGTCAAAGCCCAGACCTCAATCCAATTGAGAATCTGTGGTATGACTTCAAGATTGCTGTACACCAGCGTAACCCATCCAAATTGAAGGAGCTGGAGCAGTTTTGCCTTGAACAATGGGTAAAAATCCCAGTGGCTAGATGTGGCAAGCTTATTGAGACATACCCCAAGAGACTTGCAGCTGTGATTGCTGCAAAAGGTGGCTCTACAAAGTATTGACTTTGGGGGGGGGGGGGTAGTTATGCACGCTCAAGTTTTCTGTTCTTTTGTATTATTTCTTGTTTGTTTCACCCAAAAAAATATTTTGCATCTTCAAAGTGGTAGGCATGTTGTGTAAATCAAATGATACAAACCCCCCAAAAAATCCATTTTAATTCCAGGTTGTAGGGCAATAAAATAGGAAGAATGCCAAGGGGGGTGAATACTTTAGCAAGCCACTGTATGTGGGTTTTTGTTGCAATTTGTGTGATATGTTATGAATCCAATTCGTACTATATGTTATGAATTTGTTGTGCTTAGGATACTAAAGGGCATCTGTAACCAATAAGAAACGCTCATTATCATTGAAAAAACATTGTCATTCTGCTGCATGCCCTAATGAACATAACTCAAGCTGAAGCTTGGGCCTAGGCTGTGGACTCACTGGTTATTGTTCTTTACTATTCTGCTTACATGGCCTGTTGTGGTGCTGGGGCCTGGTGCTGGGGCCTGGTGCTGGTGCTGGGGCCTGGTGCTGGGGCCTGGTGCTGGGGCCTGGTGCTGGGACCTGGTGCTGGGACCTGGTGCTGGGGCCTGGTGCTGGGGCCTGGTGCTGGGACCTGGTGCTGGGACCTGGTGCTGGGACCTGGTGCTGGGGCCTGGTGCTGGGGCCTGGTGCTGGGGCCTGGTGCTGGGGCCTGGTGCTGGGACCTGGTGCTGGGGCCTGGTGCTGGGGCCTGGTGCTGGGGCCTGGTGCTGGGGCCTGGTGCTGGGACCTGGTGCTGGGACCTGGTGCTGCTCTAAAGGCCTTTGAAGGCCCATCAGCAGAGCATGGATCACCAGCTCTTAGAATAACTCACTTTCACCCCACAAGGAAAAAGTTAAAACCAGTCAACTAAATGTTTTAACACAAACCCTATACCATCTAATCTGGTGAACAAATGTAGCCTATTGTAACTGTTGAATCAAACGGGTGGGAATATTTAAATACTTCAAACCTTCCTGTAGATGCTTTACTTTTTGATCAATTTCTTTGATCGGAGAGAACAGGTGTAAATCATCAGATGTTTCAAGTTTCCGGCGTGACTCCTATCCCTCCTCGTCTTTCTTTCACGTCCTGTGTTCATCTTCAGGTCCAGTCTATAGTTCGTAACAGCCAACACAAGGAGGGCTTGGAGCTCAACACCCTGCTCTCCTCACCACATGTCCAGGTGAGGCTTCCATCCATTCCTACTGTAATGTCTAATTATGTGTCTCTGTGTAACCGCTGTGTTTCTGTCTTACCTGTCTCTCTGTGTAACCTGTCTCTCTGTGTAACCTGTGTCTCTGTCTAAACTCTTTCTCCGTCCCAGTATAAGCCGTCTCTGTCCCAGTATAACCTGTATCCCCCTGGCTCTCAGGGCTGGAGTTGGTTCAGGTCAGGAGTGTGTTGGTTCAGCTGTGATCAGCTGTTGGCTCCATCTCTTGGCAGAGGCCTGGCCAAAGCCCTAATCTCCCTCCCACATCCTTCCTTCCTCTGAGTTTATACTGTATAGCCAAGCTGCCTTTCCCTGAGCCCTGTACACTTCTTCTACAATGTGACCAAGCTGCCTTTCCCTGAGCCCTGTACACTTCTACCTTTCCCTTACACTCTGACTTGTCTGTCTGTCCCCCTCATCTACAATGATGCTGCTGCTCCTCTGCAGGGTAGAGTACCGGGTGGTGGGCGGCTAGAGCAGTGACTAAGGTTCAGGGTAGAGTACCGGGTGGTGGGCGGCTAGAGCAGTGACTAAGCTGCAGGGTAGAGTACCGGGTGGTGGGCGGCTAGAGCAGTGGACTAAGGTTCAGGGTAGAGTACCGGGTGGTGGGCGGCTAGAGCAGTGACTAAGCTGCAGGGTAGAGTACCGGGTGGTGGGCGGCTAGAGCAGTGACTAAGGTTCAGGGTAGAGTACCGGGTGGTGGGCGGCTAGAGCAGTGACTAAGCTGCAGGGTAGAGTACCGGGTGGTGGGGCGGCTAGAGCAGTGACTAAGGTTCAGGGTAGAGTACCGGGTGGTGGGCGGCTAGAGCAGTGACTAAGGTTCAGGGTAGAGTACCGGGTGGTGGGCGGCTAGAGCAGTGACTAAGGTTCAGGGTAGAGTACCGGGTGGTGGGCGGCTAGAGCAGTGACTAAGCTGCAGGGTAGAGTACCGGGTGGTGGGCGGCTAGAGCAGTGACTAAGGTTCAGGGTAGAGTACCGGGTGGTGGGCGGCTAGAGCAGTGACTAAGGTTCAGGGTAGAGTACCGGGTGGTGGGCGGCTAGAGCAGTGACTAAGGTTCAGGGTAGAGTACCGGGTGGTGGGCGGCTAGAGCAGTGACTAAGGTTCAGGGTAGAGTACCGGGTGGTGGGCGGCTAGAGCAGTGACTAAGGTTCAGGGTAGAGTACCGGGTGGTGGGCGGCTAGAGCAGTGACTAAGGTTCAGGGTAGAGTACCGGGTGGTGGGCGGCTAAAGCAGTGACTAAGGTTCAGGGCAGGAAATAGAAGAATAGCAGGGGGCTCTGGAAGTAATGACTACAGTACTGTTAGACACAGGTCTCTGTGGGTGTGGATGTAATGGAAGTAATGACTACAGTACTGTTAGACACAGGTCTCTGTGGGTGTGGATGTAATGGAAGTAATGACTACAGTACTGTTAGACACAGGTCTCTGTGGGTGTGGATTGTAATGGAAGTAATGACTACAGTACTGTTAGACACAGGTCTCTGTGGGTGTGGATGTAATGGAAGTAATGACTACAGTACTGTTAGACACAGGTCTCTGTGGGTGTGGATGTAATGGAAGTAATGACTACAGTACTGTTAGACACAGGTCTCTGTGGGTGTGGATGTAATGGAAGTAATGACTACAGTACTGTTAGACACAGGTCTCTGTGGGTGTGGATGTAATGGAAGTAATGACTACAGTACTGTTAGACACAGGTCTCTGTGGGTGTGGATGTAATGGAAGTAATGACTACAGTACTGTTAGACACAGGTCTCTGTGGGTGTGGATGTAATGGAAGTAATGACTACAGTACTGTTAGACACAGGTCTCTGTGGGTGTGGATGTAATGGAAGTAATGACTACAGTACTGTTAGACACAGGTCTCTGTGGGTGTGGATGTAATGGAAGTAATGACTACAGTACTGTTAGACACAGGTCTCTGTGGGTGTGGATGTAATGGAAGTAATGACTACAGTACTGTTAGACACAGGTCTCTGTGGGTGTGGATGCGTGTGTCCATGCGCCTACATCCGCCTGTGTGTTTGCTTTACAAGTCGCTAAAAGTTAACCCACTAAGTCTGTGTCTATTTTCACCTGGCCTGTCAGACGTGTGTAAGTAAGTAAGTAAGCCTGGTCTGAGCCAGAACCGCCCACAGGGGGCAGGAGCCTAGCTCCTGTTTCTGTAGAGTGAGGCAGCTAGTACACCAGCTAGACACGATGCCAGTCTGTCGCAGGGCCGTACCCCGACCCAATCCATCTCCTTAAAGCTGACTGCCAAGCAGAGAGGTATGGCTCGACCGGGGATCGAACCCCTAACGTTCCAATCTCAGGGCAGACACTAACCATAAGGCCACTGAGTTGGTGTGTTTGCATACTCTAAAAGTCTCTAGTAGTTAACCCAGTGTGTGACTGGTGCTCTCTGTGCCTCCCATCCTCAGGCAGGGCTGCTGGCCAATGACTGTGTGGCGGAGGGAGGATAAGGAGGGAGTGATGTTGTGTTATTCCTATAAAAGTGTCTAGTTAACCCAGTAATTCTGACCAGTACACCCCCTGTGTCCCCTGTCCCTTCCCAGTAGGTACTGCTGGCCCTGACTGTATGGAAGTCTAGCCTGTGTCTTGGTGTGCCAGTCTAACCTGTGTCTTGGTGTGCCAGTCTAGCCTGTGTCTTGGTGTGCCAGTCTAGCCTGTGTCTTGGTGTGCCAGTCTAACCTGTGTCTTGGTGTGCCAGTCTAACCTGTGTCTTGGTGTGCCAGTCTAACCTGTGTCTTGGTGTGCCAGTCTAACCTGTGTCTTGGTGTGCCAGTCTAACCTGTGTCTTGGTGTGCCAGTCTAACCTGTGTCTTGGTGTGCCAGTCTAACCTGTGTCTTGGTGTGCCAGTCTAACCTGTGTCTTGGTGTGCCAGTCTAGCCTGTGTCTTGGTGTGCCAATCTAGCCTGTGTCTTGGTGTGCCAGTCTAGCCTGTGTCTTGGTGTGCCAGTCTAACCTGTATCTTGGTGTGCCAGTCTAACCTGTGTCTTGGTGTGCCAGTCTAACCTGTGTCTTGGTGTGCCAGTCTAACCTGTTTCTTGGTGTGCCAGTCTAACCTGTGTCTTGGTGTGCCAGTCTAACCTGTGTCTTGGTGTGCCAGTCTAACCTGTGTCTTGGTGTGCCAGTCTAACCTGTGTCTTGGTGTGCCAGTCTAACCTGTGTCTTGGTGTGCCTGTCTAACCTGTGTCTTGGTGTGCCAGTCTAGCCTGTGTCTCTGCATCCAACCGTCTAGCAGCTAGAGTCTGTTTGGTTAGCCCAGTAAGGCTGACCCTAACCCTATGTCCCCTGTCCCCTGTCCCTCCCCAGGCAGTGCTTCTGGCCCATGACTATGTTGCGGAGCAGGAGATGCAGCTGGAGCCCCTGACCCCGGACGGCCCCTGTGAGGCTCTCACCCAGTGGGGAGGGGATGCCGTCAAGATAGTCCGCATGGAGAAGGCCAGGGACATCCCACTGGTGAGAGAGACTCCTTTAAAACACACCAACAGTCATGAATCATCATAGGAGTAGACATAGGCTGTCTGAAAAGTCCCAGCTGTTAAATCCTCGGTTCCTCCTGTCTTTGTTTTCTCAATTCCTCTCTCAAACCTTATTGGAGGAGATGCTCCAGGTTCCCTCCCTTCGGGATCCCCTCCAATGAGATTTGAGAGTGTGGCGACGAATCAAGGACGGGAGGAATCAAAGATTTGACAGCTTGTATTTAGCACTTTTTGACAACTGCTGATGTAAAAAGGGCTTTATAAAATCAATTTGAATGAATGTACACTTTGACAGAGCCGACAACTCATGTAAGAAAAGTTTAAACCCTTCTGTGTCTATCACTAACCTCTGTTCCTCACTGTGGGTATGTGTGGCAGGGTGCGACGGTGCGTAACGACATGGACAGCGTGATAATAAGCCGCATCGTGAAGGGCGGGGCAGCGGAGCGCAGCGGGCTGCTGCATGAAGGGGACGAGGTTCTGGAGATCAACGGAGTGGAGATCAGAGGGAAGGACGTCAACGAGGTCTTCGACATCCTGGCCGACATGCACGGCACCCTGACCTTCATCCTTATCCCCAGCCCACAGACCAAACCCCCGCCCATCAAAGAGACTGTGGTGAGTACTGACCAAACCCCCGCCCATCAAAGAGACTGTGGTGAGTACAGACCAAACCCCCGCCCATCAAAGAGACTGTGGTGAGTACTGACCAAACCCCCACCCATCAAAGAGACTGTGGTGAGAACAGACCAAACCCCCCCCCATCAAAGAGACTGGTGAGTACAGACCCAACCCCCGCCCATCAAAGAGACTGTGGTGAGTACAGACCAAACCCCCGCCCATCAAAGAGACTGTGGTGAGTACTGACCAAACCCCCGCCCATCAAAGAGACTGTGGTGAGTACAGACCAAACCCCCGCCCATCAAAGAGACTGTGGTGAGTACTGACCAAACCCCCACCCATCAAAGAGACTGTGGTGAGTACAGACCAAACCCCCGCCCATCAGAGACTGGTGAGTACAGACCCAACCCCCGCCCATCAAAGAGACTGTGGTGAGTACAGACCAAACCCCCGCCCATCAAGGATACTGTGGTGAGTACAGACCAAAACTCCACCCATCAGAGACTGGTGAGTACAGACCAAACCCCCGCCCATCAAAGAGACTGTGGTGAGTACAGACCCAACCCCCACCCATCAAAGAGACTGTGGTGAGTACTGACCAAACCCCCGCCCATCAAAGAGACTGTGGTGAGTACAGACCCAACCCCCACCCATCAAAGAGACTGTGGTGAGTACTGACCAAACCCCCACCCATCAAAGAGACTGTGGTGAGTACAGACCAAACCCCCGCCCATCAAAGAGACTGTGGTGAGTACTGACCAAACCCCCACCCATCAAAGAGACTGTGGTGAGTACAGACCAAACCCCCGCCCATCAAAGAGACTGTGGTGAGTACAGACCAAACCCCTGCCCATCAGAGAGACTGTGGTGAGTACAGTCACACCTCCATATCCGACCACCTCTCCTCTCATCTTCTATCCCTACCCTGGCTGTGATGTCCGTCTGTCTGTAGCAATCGCACTGTTCCAAGTTCCAATGGCTCTCAGTGAGTTGTACAGCATGGTTCTGCCCCATGGTCCATGTTGCTTTGATTCCCACATACTGAATATGTCATTATGAACTGTACGTTGTTTTGGATTAGAGCATCTGCTACATGACCATATTTATAAATGGGAATCTTAATGTAATTCTAGAATATACAGTATAGATTAACTAGAAAACTAAGGTCATGTAAAATAGTTAACTCTGTGCCACTTGCATCGTGCTATACCTTAGTGGCGTGCAAAGCTATTAGCTAGTAACAGAGAAAATAAGAAAGATCCGGGAAAGGGGTGTCGTCTGAAAGCTGGAAACTGTGAAAGGAACAGCTGAAGTAAGAAACTTTTAGTGAACATAAATATCGTTATCACTGTCAAAGTTGCGTCAATTCAAATCTGGCATTAGGAACAAAAGAGGTCAACACGACTTCTAAGATATACTAGTTATTTTAATTAATGCAAAAACCTTCAATGGTAAATATGATGTTTCGTATATACGGGCTCTTTGAAATACCCCGCAGGGCACTTCAGAGAACTAATCCATTGTTTCAGATTCAATACTCAAATACTCTGACAGAGAGAGTTTCCCACCTCTCTGCTGGCCAATCAGAGTAGACTTGAGCGTGGTTTAGACTTACTCAGCCTATCCGTTGGCGCACAGGCTAGTCCCCCGCCTCTTAGCGCATCCCTGTTTCCAGGAATACGTTCATCATAACAACCTGTCATAGTGAGAAGAGCCAGCTCCCTTAGACACCATTCCTACGTCCAAGGAAGGTTCACAGATCACAAAGAACCAGTATATTCTAGTATTTGGAGACACAAATCCTTATCTCATTTTACCCCCTAAAACAGCTCTTCACATCAATCACAGCTTGCCAGGTGTCACAACCTACATTAGCCCAGTCAAGAATGCATTCTTTCTAAGTTAGTCATCCCATCAATTTAGGAGAATAATACATCTCTAATATCACTATTCCCCTGTTATAGCATTAGCTGGTTAACTTCCGCGTGTGTAGCTAGCTAACGATAGCTAGCTAACGTAGTTAAGTCACAAACCCAGCCAACTAACGTTAGCTAGCTAATAACTTGAGGAACGTTTATGTGGTTGGTAGCTAACTAAGAGGCATATCCTTGGTTACCTAGCTACGTTGCTAGCTAACGTTAGCATGAAGACCGTAGCAAACGTTTCGCAACGGATACCGTTTACTCCAAACTGAAAATGTTTTGGAAAGAGAACTAGATTTTCTATTGGACAAATTCAGGTAGGCCCCTCCCAGTTTAATTATGTTTGCTTCCGTTTGGTTCCTAGTGAATACCTTGGTCGATAATATACAAGAGAACGTCGTCACATCTGGGACCAGCGCCCACAGAGATCCTATTCCTAATTATGTACCAGCGTCCTTGCTAACGACCAGTGCCGTTGCTAATTAGCATAGTTAGACCCTCTGGCATAGGAATAGAAATCTATAGAAACAATGCAAACTAACAGAATGTCTAGATTTAGAACAATATTCAAAATTCGAAAAAGTTGGCCTAAGTCTCTAAATATGTCTCTGGCTGGTCCCATTGTTGCAAAGAGTTCTGGGATATTAGAATATCGTTATCTTAACCTTTGTCATCTTCAACCTAGGTGAAATGCTGGTCTTTACCTGGTTGTTTACTGCTGGCTAGCAAAGAACCCATATGACAGAAAAGTGCAGACAGTTAGGCTTGGTACAGGCTAGTACTAGGTACCATAATATTGGTTTATGGCTTAGGCTAATGCTACCTCCTGCTGGGATAGCATTTGGTTCTTGAGCTAGCTTTCTGACTGTTTCAATATTTACCAGCTAGTTACCTAAACCAAAACAAAGTAGCTAGCTAGCTATGACCTTTCTAACCCATTATCTGCTATACCTAGTGTGAAAATGTATGCACTCACTAACTGTAAGTCGCTCTGGATAAGAGTATCTGCTAAATGACTTAAATGTAAATGTCTTGTTTCTCTATTCCACCAGGTCCATGTGAAGGCTCACTTTGACTACGACCCATCTGATGACCCGTACGTGCCGTGTAGGGAGCTGGGCCTGTGCTTCCAGAAGGGTGACATCCTCCACATCATCAGCCAGGATGACCCCAACTGGTGGCAGGCCTACAGGGATGGAGATGAGGACAACCAGCCCCTGGCCGGGCTAGTACCAGGTACACTACCCTGACGCCCCTAACCCTGACCCTAACCAGCCCCTGGCCGGGCTAGTACCAGATACACTACCCTGACCCCTAACCCTGACCCTAACCAGCCCCTGGCCGGGCTAGTACCAGATACACTACCCTGACGCCCCTAACCCTGACCCTAACCAGCCCCTGGCCGGGCTAGTACCAGATACACTACCCTGACCCCTAACCCTGACCCTAACCAGCCCCTGGCCGGGCTAGTACCAGATACACTACCCTGACCCCAACCAGCCCCTGGCCGGGCTAGTACCAGATACACTACCCTGACCCCTAACCCTGACCCTAACCAGCCCCTGGCCGGGCTAGTACCAGATACACTACCCTGACCCCAACCAGCCCCTGGCCGGGCTAGTACCAGATACACTACCCTGACCCCTAACCCTGACCCTAACCAGCCCCTGGCCGGGCTAGTACCAGATACACTACCCTGACCCCAACCAGCCCCTGGCCGGGCTAGTACCAGATACACTACCCTGACCCCTAACCCTGACCCTAACCAGCCCCTGGCCGGGCTAGTACCAGATACACTACCCTGACCCCTAACCCTGACCCCAACCAGCCCCTGGCCGGGCTAGTACCAGATACACTACACAGATTGGAGGGCTGTTAAGGAGAAACCTCAAAGTTCTCTTATACTTCCATTCATTGTTGTGTTGTGTGTGTGTAATTATGTATGCTGCTTTCTTGGCCAGGTCTGACTTGAAAAAGAGATGTCAATCTTAATGTGACTTCTCTGGTTAATTAAAGGATAAATAAAATAAAATACCTCACAACAAACGGTGGGCCAGTTCCAGGTCATCAATGCAGTTGATCAGACCTCACAATGCCTGGAGAAGACGGTGTTTAACAACATCTCTTCTCTTTGTAAATGCAGGCAAGAGCTTCCAGCAGCAGAGAGAGGCCATGAAGCAGACCATAGAAGAGGATAAAGAGCCTGAGAAGTCTGGAAAGCTGTGGTGTGCGAAGAAGAACAAGAAGAAGAGGAAGAAGCTCCTTTACAACGCCAAGCAGAATGACGGTAAAGCTAGCCCAGAAGAAGCACCTTTATTCACCAAGTACATTTACACACACCTGGAATTTTACGTAATGAAGTGTTGATACTAGCAATAGACAGAATATACAGACAGAATATAGACAAAGTAATTTACTTATAATCGACATACAGTAAATACAATATAAATACAATAAACATAGAACAATTACACATGATAGAGTATATGCAAACGTACAGTTGAAAATGTGCGTAGAATATACTGAGAATTAGGGTTGAATGGCGGAAATCCGGTTACCGAGATTTACCGCCCAAAACCACTCCCTTTTTCCGGGATAAATAACGGCGAGAAACCGGTAAATTGTAATAAATTATGTATATGAACAGCATGGAGTGAAATGAAACTGTTAAATGATATGCAATGTCTAAATCTGGCTTCTCTACGGCCTCTGCATGATGAATCAACGCTAAGAGTGGGGACAGACAGCCCATCTCAGTATGGAGCACAGTTCACAATGCATGCAGACCTACTGTATCATCTCATGGTAACTTTTTTCCTTGTGACAGGTAGGCCTACATTTGCTGCAGCATAGCCTATGCTAGAGTAATATAAGGACCGAATGCGTGTCTAATTTACACATCTCCATCTGATCTCCATCTGGCTTTCGGGGGTCACCTTGTATTTTAATTGTAAAGATTTTTTTTTTTTATTGCAGTTTTTAAATATCATTGCTTCAAATCAGTGCACACACTCTCGCAGTCTTTCTCCATCAATTCCATTCAAATTGCATCCAAAATAGATAATCCTGTTCTAGATTGATATATAGCCCTATATATAGATGTCCTAGCCTACCTCTTTCAGGTAATAGATTTAATGCAGTATTAGCCTTATATTTAGCTAATTAATGATGGGTTATGCATAATAAACTAAGAACTTATAGCCTCTGTGTATGTGTGTGTATATGTATGTGTGTGTGTGTGTATATATGTGTGTGTCTGTGTATGTACAGTGAGGGAAAAAAGTATTTGATCCCCTGCTGATTTTGTACGTTTGCCCACTGACAAAGACATAATTTTGTCTATAATTTTAATGGTAGGTTTATTTGAACAGTGAGAGACAGAATAACAACAAATAAATCCAGAAAAACACATGTCAAAAATGTTATAAATTGATTTGCATTTTAATGAGGGAAATAAGTATTTGACCCCTCTGCAAAACATGACTTAGTACTTGGTGGCAATCACAGAGGTCAGACGTTTCTTGTAGTTGGCCACCAGGTTTGCACACATCTCAGGAGGGATTTTGTCCCACTCCTCTTTGCAGATCTTCTCCAAGTCATTAAGGTTTCAAGGCTGACTTTTGGCAACTCGAACCTTCAGCTCCCTCCACAGATTTTCTATGGGATTAAGGTCTGGAGACTGGCTAGGCCACTCCAGGACCTTAATGTGCTTCTTCTTGAGCCACTCCTTTGTTGCCTTGGCCTTGTGTTTTGGGTCATTGTCATGCTGGAATACCCATCCACGACCCATTTTCAATGCCCTGGCTGAGGGAAGGAGGTTCTCACCCAAGATTTGACGGTACATGGCCCCGTCCATCGTCCCTTTGATGCAGTGATGTTGTCCTGTCCCCTTAGCAGAAAAACACCCCCAAAGCATAATGTTTCCACCTCCATGTTTGACGGTGGGGATGATGTTTTTGGGGTCATAGGCAGCATTCCTCCTCCTCCAAACACGGCGAGTTGAGTTGATGCCAAATAGCTCCATTTTGGTCTCATCTGACCACAACACTTTCACCCAGTTCTCCTCTGAATCATTCAGATGTTCATTGGCAAACTTCAGACGGGCCTGTATATGTGCTTTCTTGAGCAGGGGGACCTTGCGGGCGCTGCAGGATTTCAGTCCTTCATGGCGTAGTGTGTTACCAATTGTTTTCTTGGTGACTATGGTCCCAGCTGCCTTGAGATCATTGACAAGATCCTCCCGCTTAGTTCTGGGCTGATTCCTCACCGTTCTCATGATCATTGCAACTCCACGAGGTGAGATCTTGCATGGAGCCCCAGGCCGAGGGAGATTGACAGTTATTTTGTGTTTCTTCCATTTGCGAATAATCGCACCAACTGTTGTCACCTTCTCACCAAGCTGCTTGGCGATGGTCTTGTAGCCCATTCCAATCTTGTCCCTGACATCCTTGGAGAGCTCTTTGGTCTTGGCCATGGTGGAGAGTTTGGAATCTGATTGATTGATTGCTTCTGTGGACAGGTGTCTTTTATACAGGTAACAAACTGAGATTAGGAGCACTCCCTTTAAGATTGTGCTCCTAATCTCAGCTCATTACCTGTATAAAAGTGACCTGGGAGCCAGAAATCTTTCTGATTGAGAGGGGGTCAAATACTTATTTCCCTCATTAAAATGCAAATAAATTCATAACATTTTTGACATGCATTTTTCTGAATTTTTTTGTTGTTATTCTGTCTCTCACAGTTATAATAAACCTACCATTAAAATTATAGACTGATCATTTCTTTGTCAATGGGCAAACGTACAAAATCAGCAGGGGATCAAATACTTTTTTCTCTCACTGTATATATATGTGTGTGTATGTATGTGTATGTATGTGTATGTATATATATATATATATATATATATATATATATATATATATATATATATATATATATATATATATATATATATATATAAACATGGGGGATTGGAAGTGATGCAGACAATTATATTGATGGAAGTTACAATCTATCTGCAATATTAAGCTGATCTACTATATAAAAAATAAAAAAAGAACTTATAGCCTTTGTCTGTTGCACAATACGCAAACACCTGTGCTCCGCTGTCCTCTCCTTAAAAAATGCTGCTTAGCTCTTGGAGTCCCATTCAGGAAAAGCTAGACTAGACTAGCTTGCTGGACATAATTTTTTATTAGCATTTCTTATACCAATAGGCTATTCGAAGAGGGAAGCAAGCTCTTTTTTGCTAAATGTTAAATACAGCAGCCAATAGAACTCATGGGTAGTTTGAAAGAAGAGCGAACGCGCGATGGCGGTAGGCTATAGCAGTTATTTATTCAGACCCATAACCATTCAATCTTCGTGAAGCGAAGTGAAAGCCTTCTGCATCTATTTATAGTCCTATATTATTCAAGGATGTCATTAGAATTTCATTTAACTGTTGAAAGCGAGGAAGGAATGAAGCAACAATAGAGAAATATTATGAAAGGTAGGCTATACAGTGGGGAAAAAAAGTATTTAGTCAGCCACCAATTGTGCAAGTTCTCCCACTTAAAAAGATGAGAGAGGCCTGTAATTTTCATCATAGGTACACGTCAACTAGGTCAGACAAATTGAGGAAAAAAAATCCAGAAAATCACATTGTAGGATTTTTTATGAATTTATTTGCAAATTATGGTGGAAAATAAGTATTTGGTCACCTACAAACAAGCAAGATTTCTGGCTCTCACAGACCTGTAACTTCTTCTTTAATAGGCTCCTCTGTCCTCCACTCGTTACCTGTATTAATGGCACCTGTTTGAACTTGTTATCAGTATAAAAGACACCTGTCCACAACCTCAAACAGTCACACTCCAAACTCCACTATGGCCAAGACCAAAGAGCTGTCAAAGGACACCAGAAACAAAATTGTAGACCTGCACCAGGCTGGGAAGACTGAATCTGCAATAGGTAAGCAGCTTGGTTTGAAGAAATCAACTGTGGGAGCAATTATTAGGAAATGGAAGGCATACAAGACCACTGATAATCTCCCTCGATCTGGGGCTCCACGCAAGATCTCACCCCGTGGGGTCAAAATGATCACAAGACCGGTGAGCAAAAATCCCAGAACCACACGGGGGGACCTAGTGAATGACCTGCAGAGAGCTGGGACCAAAGTAACAAAGCCTACCATCAGTAACACACTACGCCGCCAGGTACTTAAATCCTGCAGTGCCAGACGTGTCCCCCTGCTTAAGCCAGTACATGTCCAGGCCCGTGCTAGAGTGCATTTGGATGATCCAGAAAAGGATTGGGAGAATGTCATATGGTCAGATGAAACCAAAATAGAACTTTTTGGTAAAAACTCAACTCGTCGTGTTTGGAGGACAAAGAATGCTGAGTTGCATCCAAAGAACACCATACCTACTGTGAAGCATGGGGGTGGAAACATGATGCTTTGGGGCTGTTTTTCTGCAAAGGGACCAGGACGACTGATCCGTGTAAAGGAAAGAATGAATGGGGCCATGTATCGTGAGATTTTGAGTGAAAACCTCCTTCCATCAGCAAGGGCATTGAAGATGAAACGTGGCTGGGTCTTTCAGTATGACAATGATCCCAAACACACCGCCCGGGCAACGAAGGAGTGGCTTCGTAAGAAGCATTTCAAGGTCCTGGAATGGCCTAGCCAGTCTCCAGATCTCAACCCCATAGAAAATCTTTGGAGGGAGTTGAAAGTCTGTGTTGCCCAGCGACAGCCCCAAAACATCACTGCTCTAGAGGAGATCTGCATGGAGGAATGGGCCAAAATACCAGCAACAGTGTGTGAAAACCTTGTGAAGACTTACAGAAAACATTTGACCTGTGTCATTGCCAACAAAGGGTATATAACAAATTATTGAGAAACTTTTGTTATTGACCAAATACTTATTTTCCACCATATTTTGCAAATAAATTCATTAAAAATCCTACAATATGATTTTCTGGATTTTTTTCCTCATTTTGTCTGTCATAGTTGACGTGTACCTATGATGAAAATTACAGGCCTCTCTCATCTTTTTAAGTGGGAGAACTTGCACAATTGGTGGCTGACTAAATACTTTTTTTCCCCACTGTATATGCGTCAGCCTACTAATTCTACAAATAGGCCCTATTACATTTCAAAATTAAAATCAAATTTGCTAGCCTATATTTGTAACTTTGTAGGCCGCATGTGCTGCATCAGAATTGCATGTCTCTTCTGCTTTATCATGGTTTGAACGATGTGCGTAATTCCAGTCCATATAATACAGTATAATGCAATACAGTAATACAGTTCACACTCAAAAAACATTAGCCTACTGGAGCTAGTCTCATTTATTTACCCAAGAGACCATATAGCTAACTACATCTATGGGCTTTTATGTTTTTCTGTTGTGCGTAATGTGCAGTAGCCTATACAGTGCATTCTGAAAGTATTCAGACCCCTTCCCTTTTTCCACATTTTGTTACAATCTACACACAATACCCCATAATGACGAAGCAAAAACATGTTTTTAGGAAATTTTTGCAAATGTATTAAACCTTAAAAAAACAGATGCCTTATATACATAGGAGTGCTGATCAGTTTTGTATTTTAGATCATAGTGTATGAGATTATATTGGACACGGAGGACCTGATCCTAGATCAGCACTACTACTCTGAAACGCTTGGTGAATATGAGTCCTGGTTTCTAGAGGGGCCGTGTGTCTCTGTTTCTGGAATGTGCTGCCTGTGCTTGTTTTAATGCTAATGCATGTGAAGTTATTCACACCTACTCTTCTCTTAACATCACACTATTGACTGTTACTCATATCTCTTATACCCCGGGTTACTATTTTCTAACGTCAGCAAAACAATAGCCCTAGTAGCTGTAGGCCTGAGAAAGAGAGATCACTCACTTTAGCCAAAAGACAATGTACTGTGAAAGTTAGTATTTTCACTTTAATGGACTGTGGTTGGCATGACCCCAAGATATATAGTAGAAGAAATAACAAGAACGGGATAAATGTTGACGTTTCAGCTAAAGGCCTTTCTCAGCCTCAAGTCTCTCTCATGATCCCAACATAGGAATAGTGTTTGATATGAAACTAAAACTGGCATGTTCCTGTTCCGTCTGTCTCTCTGCTCCTCCCCAGACTACGACAGTGAGGAGATCCTGACCTATGAGGAGATGGCGCTCTACCACCAGCCAGCCAATCGAAAGCGGCCCATCGCCCTGATTGGTCCTCCTAACTGTGGGCAGAACGACTTGAGACAGAGACTGCTGTCCAGCCAGCCAGACAGATTTGGGGGAGCTGTCCCACGTAAGTGTCAAATTGATAAACGTTTATTTGTCACATGCACAAACAGTACAATGAAATGCTTACTTAAAGGTAGACTCAGCAAAATGACGTTGCCACGAGCAGCAACGCAGATATTGAGATGAGTGAGATGCAAGACTTCGCTCTCACACAGTCACACACAGTATCTGCTCATGTGCAAGGGTTGGCTTCACGCTGTTAGTGTGGTAGGTAGGGGACCAAATCAGTGGAGAAGTTGACCCTTGCGCTTTAACACAAGTTGTTGTGGAAATTGACCCACAATGCCGTTTACTTTCTGCATCTACGTCATATATGCTGAGTCTAACTTAAAGTGGGTGGGTAGGTGGGTGGGTGTGCATTTTCTAGAGTGAACTTTCCGGGGCCTCCCGAGTGGCGCAGCGGTCTAAGGCACTGCATCGCACTGCTTGAGGCGTCACTACAGCCCCGAGTTCGATCCCAGGCTGTGTTACAGCTGGCCGTGATCGGGAGACCCATGAGGCGGCACACAATTGGTCCAGCATCGTCTGGGTTAGGGGAGGGTTTGGCCGGCCGGGATTTCCTTGTCCCATCACGCTCTAACGATTCCTTGTGGCAGGCCGGGCGCCTGCAAGCTGACTTCGGTCGCCAGATGGACGGTGTTTCCTCCGACACATTGGTGCGGCTGGCTTCCGGGTTAAGCGAGCAGTGTGTCAAGAAGCAGTGCGGCTTGGCAAGGTTGTGTTTCGGAGGACGCATAGCTCGCGACCTTCGCCTTTTCCGAGTCCGTGGGGGAGTTGCAGAGATGGGACAAGACTGTAACTACCAATTGGATATCACGAAATTGGCGAGAAAAAGGGGGTTAAAAGTACCAAATAAAGGAAGAAAAAAAAAGTGAACTTTCCCCTTGAACTGCACACCTCAGTGCTCCGGAAGATTTTCCTCAAACTCTCTTGAACTTATCACTGTGTTATCAGGCTGATCTAAGTAGGTACTAGGCCATTGTCTCACGTCAGGTACTGCGACGGCTGAGGGACGAGCATCGCGTAGGAGTAACGCCATCTGACGTCAGACAGTGGGTACTAGGTAGTGAAGATTGACCAGATGGTATGCCCCTAAAACATGTACAATGAGAATGTATTTGTACTGTAGGGAGTTAGTATTCCTCAAGACATTTAGAGGGTATAGAATTTGGTTGATGAGAATGTTGTCATTGTTATGTCATATGTGTTCATTCCAGACATGATTTTCAGTCATTGTCTGTTGTTTCCCTTCCCCTGTCCTGTTATTTTTTACATCTATTTTTTAGAAGCAATAGAAATGTTGATCACTTTTCTTTTTTTTTTATTCCAGACACGACGCGGAACAGGCGTGATGTGGAGGTGAGTGGGAGAGACTACCACTTTGTCTCCCGCCAGGCCTTTGACATGGACGCCACCGCGGGGAAGTTCATCGAGTCAGGAGAGTTTGAGAAGAACCTGTACGGAACCAGCACCGACTCTGTCCGCCAACTCATCAACACGGGCAAGATCTGCCTGCTCTGTCTGCACACACAGGTGAGCGGGAGAGGCTGAGGGAAGGAGGGGGGGAGGAAAAAATATAGAGAGTTGAGAGGGAGTTCGGAGAGGGAGAGGAGGCCATACAGAGAGGGAGAGGAGGCCATACAGAGAGGGAGAGGAGGCCAGACGGAGAGGCCAGACAGAGAGGGAGAGGCCATACAGAGAGGGAGAGGAGGCCAGACGGAGAGGGAGAGGAGGCCATACAGAGAGGGAGAGGAGGCCAGACGGAGAGGCCAGACAGAGAGGGAAAAGAAGAGGGAGGATAAAAGAGCATAAATTGTGTTGCTGCCGTGTCTGACTGGGAGTTCTCTCCCTCCTCTCTCTCCAGTCATTGAAGACTCTGCGTAGCTCGGATCTGAAGCCTTACATTATCTTCATCGCTCCTCCCTCCCAAGAACGGTTGCGAGCGCTCCTGACCAAAGAGAGCAAGAACCCAAAGGTACTGAATCGTTCTAACACTACATCATCGTCTGTTTTCTCAGTCGTTTTGAAGCCCCGAAGGGTCCTTTTTGTCAGTAAGGTTTACTAAGCCTTGGTTAAGCTCATGCTCCTGACATCATCAATCAATCCAATGTATTTTATAAAGCCTGTTTTACATCAGCAGTTGTCACAAAGTGCTTTGCAGATACCCAGCATAAAACCCCAAAGAGCAAGCAATGCAGAGGCAGAAGCACAGTGGCTAGGAAAAACATCAAGCTAACCTGGTGAAACATGCTCTGTGTTCCTTCTCTTATCCCCAACCCTTTCTCTACATCAGCTGGAGGAGCTGCGTGACATCATCGAGAAGGCCCGTGAGATGGAGCAGAACTTTGGCCACCTGTTTGATGCAGCCATCGTGAACACAGACCAGGACAAGGCCTATCAGGAGCTGCTGAGGCTGATCAACAAACTGGACACTGAGCCACAGTGGGTTCCCTCCTCCTGGCTACGCTAAGGGCCGGGGCAATATAACACACCACAACGCTAACCTGACTAGAGCCCTATAAAATCTGCAATGCGCAGAAAGTGGACGGAATCACAGAATCCATACATTAAAACGGAATTCAACAATATTCTAACATTTATTGAACTTAGTAGGGAATCAACTAAATGTTTTGAAAATGTATTAATTTGCCCAAGTTTATCATAAGACATGAACAGAATGCATCAGTGATTCGTATTTCCTGCAACTTTCTGAAGAGGCAAAAATAATTCCCTGTCTATGTATGTGCCGTGCGTGCGTCTACCACTTTTTGTTGCCGTTAGCGATGATGCTATTGAAAAGTCTTCTGGTAGATGGAAAGGCTTTCCCAAAGGTAGACGGAAAGGCTTTCCCAAAAACCTTCTCAATTAAATGTTAACTACAAAGTAGCCTATGCTTACCTGGCAGAATAATATAATGATTATTTCCATCAATCCAGTGGGTATTTGTTTTGCAAACTCTGCCATCAAATGTGAGCTACAAAAACACAGCTAAACAACAGACTCTTGCTAGGTGTGCACTGGAATTAAAGGGTAATTACACCCAGATATAAACATTTCTAAAAATGTTCCCAGACCTCAAAAGTGGTCTCCTGATGTGGTTTTAGAACATCCAATTTAGTTGTTTTTCTATTTAAAAAGTGTGATTTTTGAGAGTGAAAATCTGAAAAAAACAAGGGGAAACGGAAATCTGGAAAAACTGAATGGAGAAAACAGATTTTGGGGATAAACTAAACAGAATCAGACAAATAATAAAACTGATTTTCTAGGGCCCTACCTGACACACACATACGAATACAAAGGCACACACCTCCTGACGATTAGCCTTGACTCCATTCTCCAACCAGAATCACTGTGTGAGACAGGCGGAAGATCCTCAATCAACACAAGCTGAAGATGAATGAAACATTTACAAATCTTATCACTACATATGATGCTGGACAGCTCTTCTCTTCACTTCTGAGAATGCCTGGGGAAATGAATGATTGAATTATTATTGCTTTGATAATTTGTCCTTTTTTGTTTTGTTGTTGCTGTATTTCTCTTCTCTAAATTAACTATTCACATTCCAGGTAAGAAGTATGTAAAGACTTGGCACTTGTGGCAGAAATATAATGAATGCTTCTATCCTGCTTTTGATCATTATTTATAATTGTAAATATATTATATTTGAAAGAAGTTTTCAACGATGAGAAGAAGAAGCCATAGCTTCCATCTATGGCATATGATTATCCAGTCAGTGATTGGCTCTCCTACACTACACACACACTGGTTGTTGTACCCATGCTCTGTCCGTGTGTGTGTGTGTTCACTAATGTCGAACTGACATCACTCAGCCACAGTCTTGAGCATTGGTTCTCAATCCTGTTTTTGCCCTAGCACTACACACCTGATTCAAATCATCAAAGCCTGGTGAAGAGTTGATGATTTGAATCAGGTGTGTAGTGCTAGGGCAAAAACAAAAATGTGCACCCCTTTGGGTCCCCAGGACCAGGATTGAAAACCACAGGTCTTGAGTGTTGGCAGCAAGGTGCTGCTGATCTCTAACAGAGCAGCAGGGAATGGGATTAGGCTACTACATGATCATCATGGACGGGATTTGTTCACCTAATGAAACTGTCTGTGAGGTGATAACACCCAGGTGTAGGATTACATTATCTCAGCATCTGGCCTCTTTCCACTGCAGCAGCCCTGGGTTCAAATACTATTTCAATAATTTCAAATAATTTAGCTGTGCTTTATTGAACAATAGAATAGTCCCGCAAGGGCAAACCCTACCCCCATCTGGAACTTCAGGTAGATGAAAACAAAACCTCAAAGTATTTGAAAGATTTAAAATGCTATTTGAACCCAGGTCTGCACTACCCTACAGCACAGCACAATGCTGGAGGTTTATCTAACTGGTGTTTTGACATCACATAATAATTAGACAGATCTGAGAGATGCTTAAGAGTCACTGCCTCATTCTAATCTACTTTCCTTAAACCCTTTTCAAACTATCGTGCCAACCAATTCTGTGCTGGCTCGGATATTTTCTTTTCACATTGTCCTTCCAGCGTGGTTCCAGAAACTATGGTGGATCGTAACCAGGCCAGTACAGTAGAGCTCGGCTTGGATTGGCTCCATACTAGAGGATAATAAACTAGCCCTAACACCACCTCTCACCTCTACCCAAGCGTTACTGGGGTGTATTTATTACGTTTTGCAACAGAAACCGTTTACTGTTTAAGAACCAAACTGAAGCAAATGGAACTAAACGGGGAGGGACCTACCTGAATCTGTCCGCTATAAACTTGTTTTCGTTCCAAAGCGTTTTCCGTTTGGAGTAAATGGTTTCTGTTGTGAAATGTTTTGCAACAGACAACTTTTTGCAACAGAATTGGCGTAATGAATACACCCCTGGTCATAACTAAATACAAATAACTGTCCTGTCCAGAATCACAGGATTTAAACCAACAGTGATGATAATGAAGAAAGGTTAATAGAGGTGTTTTAAAAGTTGTGACACTAAACCCTCTGGGGTAGCTTTTGTTTTATCTCAGTATTCATCATGCATAGTTCATGTGCTACTCTGTAGGAGTGTAACCATAGTGAATGTAACCAACAGTATTCACAGAAAACACTAAAGAATATCTGAGCACCACTGTTTGTGGGATTCTCTTAATAATCAATACTTTATCAATACTTTGTTTGAAATCGATGCATTTTCTAATTCACTGAGATTTATTATGAACGATCCAACTATGCTGTATTTTTAATCCAATGGTTTTCACCACAGGAGATATTTTAAATGTGTGACTTACATTTTCGGTCTTTTTGTTTTCAGAGCTGTTATTGAAATGGGTCTGTGAAATGAACTTGAACGAACCGATAAGCCTAAATGCAGGGGGAAATAGTTACAAATAATTGTGTTTGTATGTTTGTTTTTGCATGTGGTGTTTGTATGATCATGGGTTGGAGCTCACCATTGATTGTGATATGCTGACTGTGTGTGATTGTCTTCATGCGTTTCCGTGTGCGTGTGCACAGAGGCAGGACTGTCACCGAAATGCAGGCACGTATTATCTCTAGTAGACACAATGGCAAACAGTCTTGACAAAGAACTGTTTCCCATATTATAACAGCATTTTTATTTAGGTTATTATTGATGATATCGTGGTGTATCTAGATATTTGACATTGATATATTTGTAATGTTAAAAATAGATGTATTATGTACAGAGTAATGCACTTGTAGAATGATCACTCTGCCACCCTTCCATCCCTCCCTATTGCTTCTGGAACCAGAACTGAGGTTTACCTAGAGTTCCTCTGGTACTGCCTCCAGGACCCGCTCAGTACAAGCCTGATCCCAGATCTGTTTGTGTTCTACCCAACTCCTCTGACTATTTCTGTCATGTATGCCATAGTCAGAGGAGTTTTCTACAAATGGCTTTATTCAGTGTCTGAGTAGGAGTGCTGATCTAGGATCAGGTCCTCCCTGTCCATATAATATTATTCATTATGATATCCCTTCAGTCCCCTGTAGCTCAGTTGGTAGAGCATGGCGCTTGCAACGCCAGGGTTGTGGGTTCGTTTCCCACGGGGGGCCAGTATGAAAATGTATGCACTCACTAACTGTAAGTCGCTCTGGATAAGAGTGTCTGCTAAATGACTTAAATGTTAAATGTTCAGTCTGTGCAGTACATACCTTGTGTAGATTGAGGTGTTAACTGGAAGTAGAATTATTGAATGTAAGGTTACTGTATTATTAAAAATCACCCTTTTATTTCTGAAGATCTGTTTTTGTAGGAATTATTCAAGTGAATTAAAGACCAGATTGATAGAAATTGTGGTTGGTTCTTTCATGTCTTCAGCAATGGGGGGCTTTCCTCTTTCGTTCTCTATTGCTCCTCTATTGTTCCTCAAGCAAAGGGGGAGGCCGATGACATCAGTCACCATCAGACCAAATCCTTGAATGCCCTACTCCTTGAAATTTGCCCTTTAGTGTGTGTACTTTTACTGTATTTATACTTGGGATATCGCTTTTCAACAGTAAAAGTTCAAAAATCACTGGAGGACATTAACATTTTCTCAATTTCCATGCCATTTTTATTGTGTAATATTGTATGTAAGTGGTCAACAACGTGATCTACCAGTATGTCCAGTATTTATGAACTTGCTTCAAAACACTGTCACAGAGTGACACTTTGTGGCGAAATGGAAAACTATTCATTTAAGTGGGAACACTATTAGCAAAAATATCGATGGTATTTATTTTTGCATACATGTTTCCAGTTGCGCTTCCGGGTCAGATCGCAAGTTCGCGCATGCTGATGAAATAGTTGAATTTTATCTTTAAAATTGTCACTTTTTTAAATTACTACAGTTTAATGTAACAACTTTTATAAGGATCTATTCAAATAGTTAAATATCAAAATTTGGATATTAGATCTGTAGCTATAAGGTGAGTAGTTATAACGTTTGAGTGTCATTAAGTTCTGAAAGAATGAATGACTGGTGATCAAGGCATGAGACTCAGCAAAGCGGCGTTGGCTAGCTAGCTAGCATATCCCTCTGGCTGTCCTATCCAGCTGATCCTCTTCTGAAGGACTTTCAGCTAGATTATTGAATTTGTTGTAGCTGGATAGATATTTTGTTTTCTAGTTAGCTAGAATCCAATCAGCTAGCTACGGACAATGTTATATTAACAAAGGTTGCTAGCTACAGTAGCAAGCAAGTTAGTTATCTTCATACAAGTTAGCATATGCTCATCGGTTAGTGAGCTAGCTTCTAGTTCAGCTACAAGTTCGCTGTCTATGATAATTTGCTGTATAATGATCTGCATCTTTCTAGCATTACCGCCTGTGTCATAAAGGTCCAGACCTCAGAGATAACACGATGACATGGCTACAGGCAGCATGAGTGGCTACTGGCAGAATGAGAATATAATAACTAGCTACTATCCTCTGCTACATACTTTGTGATCTCCTCTTGTCTACACAGAGTGCAGAATGCCGTCATTCAGCTGTAGATTCTACCAGCACAGGTTTCCAGAGGTGGAAGATGTGGTGATGGTCAACGTGCGCTCTATCGCAGAGATGGGCGCCTACGTTAGCCTATTAGAGTACAACAACATCGAAGGCATGATCCTGCTGAGCGAGTTGTCTCGCAGACGTATCCGCTCCATCAACAAACTCATCAGGATCGGACGCAACGAGTGTGTGGTCGTCATCCGAGTGGACAAGGAGAAAGGTGAGAGGAGGAATACTGTCCATGTGGATGTGATAGGTTGTCTTGTAACCTGGTCCCAAGGATTTATGGTTCATTTCCCTGCTCGCTCTCTCTCTCTCTTTAGGCTACATTGATCTGTCCAAGAGAAGAGTTTCACCCGAGGAGGCAGTCAAGTGCGAAGACAAATTCACCAAATCCAAAACTGTATGTTGTCTAAGTCCTCACATCTCCACGTTCATAGTGCAATACCCCTACCAGCTAGTACAATGTCATCTTATGCCTTGGGCTGAAAATGCAGAAGGGCTGGTTGAAGTACTCTTAGATGTGTTGTCAAATTATATATTCCAATATTTCTGGAGGTGAACCTAGACCTGTGTCACTTCTGTCATGAGCAACTTTGGGTCCTTGAAAAACGCAATATAAATATAATGTATTATTACTGTTATTACAATGACAGGTGTACAGCATATTGAGGCACGTGGCTGAGGTTCTGGAGTACACTAAGGAGGAGCAGCTGGAGAGCCTGTTCACGCGCACCGCCTGGGTGTTTGATGAGAAGTACAAGAGGCCTGGATACGGAGCCTATGATGTCTTCAAACAGGCTGTGGCGTGAGTACTGACATCCTGGTCAGGGTTGGTGGAGGGGATTCTCTTGCTGAGTATTATTTTCCATTCCTAGTTCCAATGCATTGAAAACAGAAAAGTTCTGTAACTAGAAATGGAAGAAAATGGTTCCATTGATTAAAAAGTCTCCTCTTGTTAGTTACAATTCTAGACTAGATCAATTTCTCTGGCACCAATAGACATATTATTTGGCTATTGCACTGGAACTCCCAGGATTTTATGTGTTAATATGTCTGTTTTGGCCCACAGGGACCCAGCCATTTTAGATTGTCTTGACCTGACAGAGGAGGAGAAGGCTGTGCTCATTGACAACATCAACAGAAGACTCACCCCACAGGCTGTCAAAATCAGGGCAGGTACATACACGGTGTACAGTACACCTAAAGCTTACCTGGGTACTTGTACGTCATATACACAGCAGTAGTTTGATAAGTTTTGATATAGCATGATCGTAAGATTTTTATTCTAACACATCTCTCCCTCAGACATTGAGGTAGCCTGCTACGGCTACGAAGGCATTGATGCTGTCAAAGAAGCGTTGAGGGCGGGGCTAGGCTGCTCCACAGAGACCATGCCCATCAAGGTAAATAACAACAACAAACACCCCTCAGCAGTCAGTTTTTCCGAACCCAGATTAAACATAGGATAGTCCTAGACTAAAAAGCATTAATTGAAAGTGACTTCTAGTCCAAGACTGGGCTTAATCTGTGTCCGGGAAAACGTCTATATATATCACAACAACATAGTCCAACACATGATTTCTCCCCCCTAAACCGTGTGTGTCTTCGGCTCTCTGACAGATTAATCTGATAGCACCGCCACGCTACGTCATGACCACCACCACACTGGAGCGCACTGAGGGTCTCTCTGTCCTCAACCAGGCCATGGCTGCCATCAAAGAGAAGATGGAGGAGAAGAGAGGAGTCTTCAACATCCAGATGGAGGTCAGTGAAATATAATGCAACTTTATTGTCCAAATTGCATCTGAAATTAATATTTTTTCTGTCTTTTGGTACAGTACAGGAAGAGAGGGAAAATGGAAAAGACCAAGCTGGGGTGGAGTGGTGGAGGTTTCATGTAAACTTTCTTGAAACCTCTGCCATACAGCTGTGACCAAATATATTGTCACCCTTGCACATTTCTTAAATAATTCCCTATTTATTCTAAAATAAGTAGAAATTTGAAGAATAAATAAATAAAATGGTCACCACACCATGTTATTGGATTTTCAACATTGCAGAACCAACTTAAGTTTACAATTTAAATTGAGAAAATAAAGACAAATGGCATGGACAAAATTATTGGCACCCCGGAGCTAGTACTTGTTTCAATTTCAACTTATTTGAGAAGAAATTATTTAAGAAAAGTGCAAGGGTGCCAATATATTTGGCCGCAAGTGTATGTAATAAATACATTGGAAATCTTACTTACCACATTAAAACAGCATACAAAACTGCAAGAAAGTTCAGGACATAGTGCTTTTAATGTCAATTTGTTTATCTCTTCCTGTGTGTTGTCCTCCCTTCCAGGCGAAGGTTGTGACAGACACAGATGAGACAGAGCTGGCACGCCAGCTGGAGAGACTGGAGAGGGAGAACGCCGAGGTGGATGGTGATGACGAGGATGGAGAGATGGAGGCCAAGGCAGAGGACTAAACCAGATGAAAAACAGAGGGATTGGATACAACGACAAGACCAATTATACGCAGTCCAGAGTCCGTATTAATAAAGCATCTCAGAGTAGGATTGCTGATCCAGGATCAGTTCCCCCATGTCAATGTTATCTTATTCATAATGATCTTAAAAGGCAAAACTGATCCTAGATCAGCAATCCTACTTTGAGATGTTTCATTCAACAAACTTTAATTTCAAATCAAAAATCGGGCATTCTAGAACGTCTCTCCAACTGAACACGAGCCTCTGTTGATCAGTACCAGGGACCCTCAGGAAGACTGAGACAGAGAGACCGCTACAGGTGCTGACTATCATACTGCCAAACACATAGCTGGGAAAAGCCCCTGTCATTCTCCCAATGGACAAAATAAACACTAATATTATCACTGAACCCTAGCTGTTTGAATTGCGTCCCAAAGGTGAACGGATGTGGTCGGTTGGGTTAGGGTTAGCCTGCTTGTCCATTCTGTTTGTGCTGTAGCCAACTCCTCTGTGTGTGGAAGTGAGGATACAGGATAGAATGGGACCAGGTTTGGTTTGGTGGGGTGTTAATCTCTTGTGGACTGACTATGTAAACATGAACATCTGACCAAATTACTCAAGATTTTTGTTCTGGGTTAACTGAGATTAGTGGGGCAGTAACTTGGTCCCATACTTAATGTTCTGTAGCCAACTCTTTGTTACACATACAGGATGAGACAAGGTAGGGTGAGTAGTTTCACTCGAGGATAGATTCAGGGAATATCATTTGTTTTTAGATTTGCATAGCAAGCAAATAAGGAAATATTTTAGGAATGAGGCGTTTTGAAAGTGGCGTTGTCTTTCTCCCCAACTCCATGTAAGGACAATGGCTTTCTGGTATTTGTGAAGAGTTGGAAGGAAATGGAAAAGTATGATGCTCACCCTGGACTTACATGGATCATTATAAGGGTGCATTTGTAAGGCTATTTTAAGGGTGCATTCTGGGTTCATTTATATGTTTACAGGGCTACATTCTTCACATAACATTAAACAAATAAATTAATATTTTTGTTGAATATTTTCAAATGAATTTGTGTTATCTTGTCAGGTTAGAAGTGATTGAAAGTGACACATCCACCTAAATGAAATGTGAGATGCAGTTGTAGTTTGTCTACACTACAAATCCAATAATGTATTGTTAGCAATCCGTGGTAGTTGCCGCGGTCACGTCATGTCGGGTACTTGCTTACTTGAGTTTCCCACTTGGGAAGTATCAGAATTTTAACATTTTAGTCATTTAGCAGACGCTCTTATACAGAGCGAATTACAGTTAATGAGTGCATACATTTTTTCCCTTTTTTTTTTCATACTGGTCCCCCGTGGGAAACGAACCCACAACCCTGGCGTTGCAAACGCCATGCTCTACCAACTGAGCTACACGGGACTGTCAACCAATAGGAAGCTCTACGCAGCACTGCACTGCTGCACCAGTAATTTCGGGTAAGCTTGGTGTCGGGTAAGCTTGGCTTTATACATAGCTTGGGCTTTGTCGAGTAAGGCTTAAACTATGTAGTTAGGTATTGTAGGTAGTTATTGTGGGTTGTTGTATGTAATTATTGTAGGTTAGTATTGTATTCGGCTGTGCCCAGCGTAGCACGAAGCTAGCTAGCTAACCCACCACCTGGACTAGCTGGCGAGTAGCTATTAGCAACGGTATAGTTATTTCACGCCTGAGAGTGCCTGTAATTACGCCAGCTGGCTGCCTACAATAATTACATACAATAATTGCCTACCATTCAGCTGTTTTCCAACCTCATTGTCTGAACCGTTAACGTTAGGTAGCAAGTGGCTACTGTGCTTGAAATATTAGCTAGCTTGTTGCTACCTGGATAGCTACTAGTAAACAATAGCTGGAACGACCGAGCGAACAGACGCGAACTGGCTGAGTCAATTCAGTGGCTAGCTTTGCACTTGGCTAGCTAACAGTAGCTGCTAGGGGTAAGTCATAACCTACATTTGTGTTTTGTTTTTTACATATTGATAGCCCGAGTCGCTCAAGGAATTCGGGACATGGGTGACTAGTTAACGTTAGTTTGGCTCTCTGTGTGTTCGTGCCGTGAAAGGAGGGGTTCTTCTTTGTCTGAAAGCAATGGCTAGCTAGTTTGCTAACTATTCTAGCTAACTAACTGGCTGAGTAAGTTGACGACGGACTCGCTCAAGCTGTCGGGACTAACCCACAACGTTAGACACGGACACGAACAATCTGCTTGCGTGTTGATACACTGGTGGTTTGTTGTGGCCGAGTATTGGCGCTAAACCGTGTTGCTGGAGTCCGGCATGCTAGCTGGCTGTGGCGTCGTATGACTTGATGCCCGGACGATTTTCACGGAATAATACTGCACCTAGTTAGCTAGCTGAATAAACTAAGTTAGTCTATTCCTAGAAACATTGAACCGCTGTAGTTTACAACAATTATAGTTTCTGAGGTGGAAGTTGGGAGAGTTATATTTGGGAGTTGTGCTGAGGGAGGCCCCGCTCTCTCCTTTCCCAGATGTTTAGTTCATTTCATTCCGATCTCCTCTGCATTATTGTAGCCATTTGCTGCAGCCTGTCAACTATGCCTCTGCCTATCCCTGTTCTCTCCTCTCCGCACAGGCTACACAAACGCCTCACACCGTGTGGCTGCTGCCTCTCTAACCTGGTGGTCCCTGCACGCACCACCCACCTGGAGTTCCAGGTCTCAGGCAGCCTCTGGAACTGCCGTTCTGCTGCCAACAAGGCAGAGTTCATCCCAGCCTATGCTACCCTCCAGTCCCTCGACTTCTTGGCGCTGACGGAAACATGGATTACCACTGAAAACACTGCTACTCCTACTGCTCTCTCCTCGTCTGACCATGTGTTCTCGCATACCCCGAGAGCATCTGGTAAGCGGGCTGGTGGCACAGGAATCCTCATCTCTCCCAAGTGGACATTCTCAATTTTTCCCCTAACCCATCTGTCTATCTCCTCATTTGAATTCCATGCTGTCACAGTCACTAGCCCATTTAAGATTAATATCCTTGTCATCTATCGCCCTCCAGGTTCCCTTGGAGAGTTCATCAATGAGCTTGACGCCTTGATAAGTTCCTTTCCTGAGGATGGCTCACCCCTCACAGTTCTGGGGGATTTCAACCTCCCTACGTCTACATTTGACTCATTTCTCTCTGCCTCCTTCTTTCCACTCCTCTCCTCTTTTGACCTCACCCTCTCACCGTCCCCCCCTACTCACAAGGCAGGCAATACGCTTGACCTCATCTTTACTAGATGCTGTTCTTCTACTAATCTCACTGCAACTCCCCTCCATGTCTCCGACCACTACTTTGTATCCTTTTCTCTCTCGCTCTCCTCCAACACTACTCACTCTGCCCCTACACAGATGGTAATGCGCCGTCGCAACCTTCGCTCTCTCTCTCTCCCGCTACTCTCTCCTCTTCCATCCTATCATCTCTTCCCTCTGCTCAATCCTTCTCCCTCCAATCTCCTGATTCTGCCTCCTCAACCCTCCTCTCCTCCCTTTCTGCATCCTTTGACTCTCTATGTCCCCTATCCTCCCGGCCGGCTCGGTCCTCCCCTCCAGCTCCGTGGCTTGATGACTCATTGCGAGCTCACAGAACAGAGCTCCGGGCAGCTGAGCGGAATTGGAAGAAAACTAGACTCCCTGCGGACCTGTCATCTTTTCACTCCCTCCTCTCTACGTTTTCTTCATCTGTTTCTGCTGCTAAGGCCACTTTCTACCACTCTAAATTCCAAGCATCTGCCTCTAACCCTAGGAAGCTCTTTGCCACATTCTCCTCCCTGCTGAATCCCCCCCCCCCCCCTCCCCTCCTCCCTCTCTGTGGATGACTTCGTCAACCACTTTGAAAAGAAGGTTGACGACATCCGATCCTCGTTTGTTAAGTCAAATGACACTGCTGGTCCTGCTCACACTGCCCTACCCTACGCTTTGACTTATTTCTCCCCTCTCTCTCCAGATAAAATCTTGCGACTTGTGACTGCAGGCCGCCCAACAACCTGCCCGCTTGACCCTATCCCCTCCTCTCTTCTCCAGACCATCTCCGGTGACCTTCTCCCCTACCTCACCTCGCTGATCAACTCATCCTTGACCGCTGGCTATGTCCCTTCCGTCTTCAAGAGAGCGAGAGTTGCACCCCTTCTCAAAAACCAACACTCGATCCCTCTGATGTCAACAACTACAGACCAGTATCCCTTCTTTCTTTTCTCTACAAAACTATTGAGCGTGCCGTCTTTAGCCAACTCTCTTGCTATCTCTCTCAGAATGACCTTCTTGATCCAAACCAGTCAGGTTTCAAGACTGGTCATTCAACTGAGACTGCTCTTCTCTGTGTCACGGAGGCTCTCCACACTGCTAAAGCTAAGTCTCTCTCCTCTGCTCTTGTCCTTCTAGACCTGTCTGCTGCCTTTGATACTGTGAACCATCAGATCTTCCTCTCCACCCTCTCCGAGCTGGGCATCTCCGGCGCGGCTCACTCTTGGATTGCGTCCTACCTGACCGGTCGCTCCTACCAAGTGGCGTGGCGAGAAGCTGTCTCCGCACCACGTGCTCTCACCACTGGTGTCCCCCAGGGCTCAGTTCTAGGCCCTCTCCTATTCTCGCTATACACCAAGTCACTTGGCTCTGTCATATCCTCACATGGCCTCTCCTATCATTGCTACGCAGACGACACACAACTAATCTTCTCTTTTCCCCCTTCTGATAACCAGGTGGCGACTCGCATCTCTGCATGTCTGGCAGACATATCAGTATGGATGACGGATCACCACCTCAAGCTGAACCTTGGCAAGACGGAGCTGCTCTTCCTCCCGGGGAAGGACTGCCTGTTCCATGATCTCGCCATCACGGTTGACAACTCTGTTGTGTCCTCCTCCCAGAGTGCGAAGAGCCTTGGCGTGACCCTGGACAACACCCTGTCGTTCTCCGCTAACATCAAGGCGGTGACCCGATCCTGTAGGTTCATGCTCTA